AAGGAAAGAATGAGAAACTATGAAGAGAGAATCAGAGTAAAAGACGCGTGTGTGTTGCATCTGTGTGTTTCACATGTTTTTAATGTAGAACTTTTTTCTTTCTTTTTTTCTCCTTTACTGGAGCCCTCCAACAGCGCCTCATTGCTCTGGCATTAAAATGAAGCAATCATATTTTTTCTGAGAAACAGAAGAACACACACACATTTTATTACCGTCATTAAGCAATTTATTTATTTTTTCTCCCCTTTAAGGATTTCCATCTTCCTCATTCTCTCAACACACAGTGAACATGGGATTACATGCAACACCCTCGGTTTCTTTTCTCTTCCTGCTCAATAGAGCCAAATGATTTTTGACATGACTCAGCGGCCTTAAATCTATTAGTTTTGTTTGCGGGGAAGAAGAAGGCCTGGCAGGTAATCAGACTCCAGAACGCACAGCGTGATTACAGGGAGAAAAGGAAAGGTATGAAATATCGCACGGCTGATCGCCTTATATTGCTGCGAGCTAGGCCTGCGTTGAACAATCATACTATACTACACAAAGCCAATCAGCACATTAATACATGGCTGTGTATTTTAGATAGTCGACATACACTTAGAAAATCACAACAAAGCAGCACAAAAGAGCAGCACAACTCTGGACCTTTATGTTTGATTTAGACATAAATACATGCTTACAGATACGTACTCAGCATGTGACAAACACATTCATAATGTTTTCTTGTCACACAATTAAGGAACACAGCTTCGTACTTGTCACTTTTCACACAGACAATAAAACACGTGTGCCCACACACACACGCACATCTTGGAAGAAATATGCCACGCTCACATACATGCCGTATATGCTTAAGCTATCTAATTTACACTCACACTTGCATTCATGTAGCCTACACAGGAAGAAAATTGGCTGTGCATTATTCCAGAGCCAATCAACTTTTATTAGTGCCGTAAATGTTAATTGGCGAGCCGTGCTCAGAAAACAGAAAACTCATTTCCTCAAACTAACAAGGTTTCATCGTTTTGGATGTTTCCCTTTCAGCCTTGTGTTTTCTGGCTCATTCCTTTTGTTTGACAAGAGATGAGTGTTCCCTGTTTTGTCTCTGCAGGCCTTGATGGGAAAAGTATGTGCCTGGCATTGTGTAGTCTTTAGGCAAAGAAAATGTGTGCTTTTATGTGCAATTTTGCTCAGCACTTGTGGTAACAAAGAGCAGGGGGGGAAACGGCACACATTTGACAGGCAGGAATGGTATTATGATATTTTAATGTGCAGCACAGCCAGAAAATATTCCTTGTGTTTACACTTCTTGTTTTGAAGGTTTTGACACTTTTTGGGTATAGCCATGTTTTGGTTTTTTCCCTTTTTACTGAAAAGAGATTTTCTTCTTCTTTTGCGTCTTTGGTGTTCCCATACTGACATTGACAGAGCAAATAGGAGGCAGAATGCAAAGCTGTTATCAGTCTTGCTTTGTATTGCACATTCACATTCTCTATCATTCTCTAGTATCTATCACTCTCTCCATCCATCTACCTATCTAACAATATCCATAAATCTATCTTGTTTATCTCTTTAATTTGCATCTCTCTCATATGGCCCTGCGCTCTGTGGACTGCTGACAAACAGAGCAAAGAATAAAAACAAAAAGAAAGCAGGAGAATGAGAACAAGATAAAGGAGGAAAAGGCATTAAAAAGTCATATATCAGATGAGTTCCATGGCTAATAAATCTTTTATCGTTTTGTTTACCCACCATGATATTTATTTGTTATTTCTTCTAACAGAAGGAAAACCATCCAAGTCAAATAAAACCTATTATGAGACTGTGTGTCTCTCTGCCGGCCTTTATGACTCCAGCTGAGTGACTGACACCAGCTCCAGCAGTGCACGGTTTAGGCCCAAATAATAAAACTCATATGTGACAAGACCATGAATGAAGTTTTCATTATATGGATGAGTTCTGGTCATCTGTTTGTGAAAATTATTTTAGGGGTCGCTTTTTTTTTCTTTCTATTTTTGTTAACTAGCCATGCTGCATCACTGCTTTGGTGACATTTTGTGAATTGAAAATAAAAGACGGACACCTCATCAACATTTTATTGGAGAGAAGAAAAATACGACGTTTTATGTTAGCAAGTAAATCAGGATTCAGTGTGTGATGTGCAAAATTTAATGGGATTTTACACTGTTTAGAATTGACATATTCAGATATTTAAGAATGAAATATTCAAATTGACAGTTCTTGCTGAGACACATTGTGTAGTTTGTTGTGAACACAATGACGTAACAAACTTCACAATGTATGTCAGTCAGTGGAAACCATCGATCCTTTGAGGGCTGGATTCAAACTAAAATTCAAAGTTAAAAAACATGAAATCAAAGTCTGCGCCAACTTGTGTTAATGCGGCTCTCTGGTGTGTGCGACCCTCCAACGTGATTTCTCCAGACCATCACACCCATTGCCAAACTGGTCACAGTAGATGATCTTGCAAGCAGCATAGAGAAGAAGAAATTCCAATCCAGAATCTCAAATTGGGGGTTCTGTCATTATAAATATGCTGGGTTTCAAATTCTTACTGTTCTGATATTGGCAGGCAGTGATGAACAATATGATTTTAGCAACCACAAAGCTATTCAAGCGGTAACAAAACGTGAACTGTGTGTTGCATGGCTAAGATATGCTGTGGTTGGACAAACTGAAATCTGATAATAGGCTTGATCACTGGCATGACTGGCAAAAAAAACCCAAGCAAGCAAATGCTTTGATTGACAGTATAATGTAATTTAGGGAATAATTCAAAGCTTAATTGTGAAAATGTGTTATTTAAAACAAAGTTAACACATTGGAAAAAATCTGCAACACTGAAAACAAAAGCAAAAAATATAACGATAGTCATCAGATTGGAATTATAATGTTTCAAGACCTGGACAGAGCAGAGGAATTCAACAGTAAAAAACCTCAAAAATTAAATATACGTCAATATTTCTAAATGACCCCCCCACACCCCCAGCAGATTTCACCAACAGGTCTCCATGTATTATTCCTTGCGGTGGGAATAAATGAGAGTATAGGAAACACGATGAAGAAGTAACTCACAGAGCTTATTAATGAACTGACACTATGCTGAAATACTGATAATACAACCGTACACACAAACTGACGCCACAATTCAGTGAATAAACATAATATTTGCTATTACCTTTTAAATGAGGTTTTGTATTTGCTGGTAGCACAGATATTGTGATGATCATAGACAATCATCTCGGAGTGTAAGTGCTGCAGCATTGCATTACATTTACATACTATTTTTTTAACCTTTAAAAAGACTAAATAAAATATTAAATAACTTAACAAAACTAATGCATTTAAAACCATTCAAATCAATGCAAAATCTACTTAAAATCAAGCATTCACATCGGACCCCAATAACCTATAGTAAGACACCTAGTTTAAAAAGAAAAAAGAGTTCTGCAGTAATAAAGCAGATGCCGCTTTCTACCATTTCACACAGCTTATACTGAGAGTTATTAAAAATTACCCATAATGCATTCCTAAAATCTGAAGCCATTCACGATCCACAGCTCTGTTATGCCATCATGTAGACGGTTGTCCTCCTCTCATCTCTGTGTGAGTCATACCTGCCAACCTTTGAGTAGAGCATGGCTATGATCAACAGAAGATTGGCCTATGACCCTTGAAAAGGACACTCACTGATTGGCCAGCTACAAAGGCACAAACTCACAAAGCCCAAGCATATAGCGGCCTCATTTGGAAAGTGGAATGGTTTGGACAACATTTCAATTATTGGATTTAGCCTCTTTTTTTGGTCCTCCTCCAATACCACAGCATTTGAGGCAGAGAGCGATTAATCTCCTAAGAATTCTATTAAAGAGACGGATGGCTGTTTGAATTATGCATCAGTTTCATTAAGATGACAAATTCTGTAAATTATATCAGTGATACTGATTATGAAAACAACTGCATATCTTTGAGAAAGAGAAGGATTTGAAGAACTGGATAGAGATAAGACAAACAATACAAAGTTCACCAAAGTTCACGCATGTTGACTTTCGTATCTGTGGGTGCAGATGAGTGGCGAAGTAGACTACAAAGAAAGAAAACAAAAGAACAACAACAAAGGGCATCAGCAGAAGAAACAGTCTTCCATTATCCATTCTGTGTTTGCTATGGCGCTTGACGTACTGTATAATTGATAGAATTTTGACCAAATGTTTCCAGACCTCCTTTCTTTCACTACACAGACCCCCCACTCTCAGTTAGCAGTTTCCAGCCAAGACCTCCCCTCTCTGGGCATGGTGACTCTCTGTGGCCCCTCAAAGTCTGGAGGGATTGAGAATGACACCAAGATCCTCCTGGGGTAGAAGTGTGAGTGTGTGTGCATGCGCGCACGCGTGTGTATGCTCCAAGCCATCACCTCCTCCATATTAAGTTCCATTATTCATGTGAGAAGAAACACTCACCAGGTCACCCTTTACCACTTCGGATATTACTCTTAACCCTTTGATGCACACAGAGAACCACAC